TGTTCCTGTTAGTCATGCGGAAAAAATCTGATTAATGCGTACATCTATTTTAATTGTGTTATACAGTTGTGTGTCCTGTGTGTAGTTCGGTTTTGGTATCCAAATCCATGTATCTGAGTGTGTGCATACATGTGTTTATCCATGTGTGTCTCCATCTGGAGGCTTGGGTTACCTGTGCATGTGTGGCAGATGGTGTAGGTGAGAGTGCACCAGGACCACCAGCCAGCGGGCCACAGATGTGTTAAGTGCTTCAGTTGAGTTTGTAGAAGTGGTAGGATGTCAGGGTGTGTCTGCTGAGAGAAGACAGTTCCCATATCCATGCAGTCTGGGCAAAAGACAGTGTTCTATAACCGTGGTAAAATGTTTTACAGCGTTGCCTTAGCATCACAGGCTACATATGAAGTTGCTGTGCTGTCGGACATGAAACCCGAGCTGTCGTAAAAAGCAGTTTCTTGAAGGCTGATGACTTGGGGTGTCACGGTTATGGGGTATATGTTTTAACCATTCAGCTACCAGGGTGCCTGAGCTTCGCTGTTTTTAGGTTTTTTAGGTTTGACAGTATTCTTACTTCCGGTGTTATTACTGTGAGCTCACAATGAAACCCATGAGCCAATTACTCAGCCCGAACTCCTCCACATGCAGAGCGGGCGGTGAAAATGGAGCCAGAGAGCATCAGAGCTGAGTGCAGACCAGACAGAGGCCACTGTGTTGACTGTAAACACAGTCACTCTCTGCCTACTCAGCACAAGAGACGACAGACATATCACTTACACACACACACACACACACACACACACGGAGGACTGTGCCACTCCAGTACTTTATGTCATACCCTCGGGCAGAAAACTGAACACACACCTGGCCTACAGACACATTAACTGGTCTAGGAGCAAGTGTGTGGCATCAAGACATCATGTGCTGGTTTCATGCTGGTGGTAAGTCTGATACAGTCACACGAGCAGCTGTCCATCTTATCTCCTGTTAGCACATAAAGGCATTTTACATCCAGTCTTTCCCTTTTAAATATGAACAAACATCCATTCTAACATCTTTATATCCCAATATGTGTTAACAAAGCACCACAGGATATTGATAGCACTACTAAATTGAAGCTTTGTTCCCATCAGGTTGATAAAAGAGGGGGTGGATCCAAATCACCGCCACCGTCTGGGTTGGACCGCTCTCATGGTGGCCGCCATGAACCGACAACACAGGTGTGTATGCGTTTCATCCAGCTAAAACCACTGAACAAATCCTGTGTTTTACAGTTCTGAGACGCTCTCCACCTGGAGGATAACAGTAATGTAGCGTTACGGGATCATGCATGAGTTACTGTGTGAGCATATGTCGTCCACGTCCCTGCTCTGGTTGTTACAGTAGGCCTTTAGAAGTGCAAAGTGTGACTTTCAGACTGACAGACGGTCTTTACCCGTTCCCCCTTCTCTCTGTCCGACAAATTAAATTAGCCTCCTGGACCCCAGAACACACACACAACACAGACAGGGGCAAAGGTTAAGGCCAGGCCAAATCTAATTTACAGGGCTTTTCTTTCCTTCTTTCTTTTTTGTCTCCATTAGGACTGTGTGGTCACTTGTGTGTTTAAAGGGCCCCATGAGCCCGTGAGAAGCATAATGTGACACTTGAATATGAAATATCTTCAACTGAGCTAAATCTCAGGCTTACTGTTGCTTCTTCTTCAGGTTTGTAAGGTAGTTTGAATAAACACTGGTAAAACAGAAGAGCTGAGTGTGATTGTGATTTTAGGGGAAGCTGTGTGCTCAGATTCCAGGTTCTTGGGTTTAAAATGTGTGTTAACTTCAAAATAAAATTGCCCCTCTGTGTTTTCTGTGCGGGTTTTTTTTTTTTTTGTTTTGTTTTAGTAAAATGTTCCAGTACTTGGATATTTATTTAAGGCTGTTATTACTGGAGCAAATAATCAGATATTCATTCAACAGAAAGTTAAGCGACAGCATTTTTGATAATAAATTAATAGTTTTAGGTCATTGATTTAGACAAAATGCCAAATATTCACCAGGTCCAGCTCCTCAAATGTAAGAATGTTTTGCTTTTTAAGTGAGTGCGACTTGGACATCGATTAACAATTATTATTAACAACTTGCTGCCCTTTTAGAGGCAATAATGAACCAACTAATAAAAATAATTGTTAGTTGCATTCTTTTCTGTTCGGTGTCTGCTCTGTAGGTCATCCTCAGAGACAAATCTGATGATATGCCTCGATCATTTCACTTTGTGATGACGCTGAAGTTGCGCTATATCTTTACAGTTACGTGACACGGGCTGAGTGATTGTTGGTGTGTAATGTGTTCCTGTGTTTTATATTTAATGATGTGTTTTCTTGCCACATGTCAAGTGTTTTTGGATACAGATTTGGTTGTATATGCATGTATGTGTGTGTGTGTGTGTGTGTGTGTGTGTGTGTGTGTGTGTGTGTGTGTGTGTATATGCGTATCTTGTGCGTGTGTGTGTGTGTTATGAGTGCTATAACTCAGCGAGGCAGTGACACTCCTCTGTGTTTAATCCCGTCTTCCAACCCCCCGGTGAGCAGTCACTGCTGCAGGGAAGACAGAATATCGGTTCACACACATCACTCACACGTCTCTCTCACACACACGCGCACAGACACACACACTTGTACGCACTCACAAAGCGTCCATACACACGGATGAGGATGCATATGTGAATACACGCGTAAGCACGCACACACAGACAAGTGGAGTTCATACCAAATATCTTATAGGCCAACTGCCTATTACTCAGCCACACACAACTTTATTTACAGCTGTTAAGTGAAAACGCAGGGAGCATCACTCATGAACAAGGTCTAGCCTGTAGCTGGAGTGTCAACGTGGGTCTTATTGTTGAATTACTCCACCCCTCCCTCACACTCCGTATTTTCTTGAAGCAGAAGTGATAACTGTGTTTTGAAGAGACAGAAGATTTCCCCACATTGCCTGTTCAGTGGAAGCTGTGGTGGTCCTCTGGCTGTAGGTGTAGCGCTCTCCAGGAAGCTTCACCTGTGTTCAGGGGTTGGGGTGTGGCTGTGGGAGTCATGAATCAAGGGTGGAGCAGAGGGGTGAGTGTAAGAATTAAGGGTGAGACATCGGGGGGTGGGCGTGTGTTTTCTTAGCTTTGATGTAGGGCTAAATCAGGGAGGCGCAGGGCCTGGCCCACTGTTTGCACTCTTTAAACCACAATACCCATCTCCATCTCTCTTTCTCTTCCTCCGTCTCCCCCTTGCTGCATTCACGTGCACAATGAACGCTCAGCCGAGTGAAACGCCTGTTGACCGTTCCGACCTGATGGCCGAGTGACTCGATGGGAGGGAGGGAGGGAGGGGGGACAAAAATAAGGGGAAACAGAGGAATGATGGGATGAGAGGGGTGGCTCGTTCGGAAAGAGAGAGAATAGTTGAGCGACGTTGAGTGGGATTATGGGTTTGGTACTGGGATTAGCTGGAGATTGAATAGCGGTGAAATATCATTTGGCCACGATACAACCTGGCTGTAGTGCAGTCTGATTTAGGGACAGAATAAGTCTCTGTGTTTGTTACACTCTACATGGAAGTACACACAAAAACATTTTCTGTAGTTTTATTACAGTTACTTACAAGTTATTTGTTTTAAAAGTAAAACATTATAGTGTATGAAATTGTATTTGAGCCAATCAGGTTAGTCGAATTAAAAATGAAAGTGAGTCTGTGCGGCAGCCTTCTCTTTGTGGCACCTATCTGAGCGGCACCAGGTGACGTGGGGTCAAGTGAGGTCCAGCATCTGGGCCAGGTGGTCAGTGACATGGATGGTCAATTCAGCTCGGATGTCTTATGGTACAAGGGAGACGGAAGTGTCTGTTTCCTGTCTTCCCTCCAGGGCGTGATAGAAAACGAACACCTGCCGCCCACAGTAAGGCAGCATTCACACTGAGTTTCAAGGGTCCTCTCCGTTCATTTCTACTGGGGGATTCTGGTCACTGCAGCCGGCAGCAGCACCACAGGGGACTCTGCCAAAATGACGCAGCCCTGTGTGGTGAGAAATGTGGATCTGGTTCAGCTTTTTCTGCAACACAGGGTGACATCATCCAGCAAGATGCTATGTTGACCAGTCACATAATGGGGCATGGTCGAAACACCCACAGGAAGAAGACTCCTGTTAGGACCACTGTTAAAAACACACCATAGGGCTGCGCGGCTAAACTGCACGGCTGGAAATGTGAATGAGGCTACTCACAGTGATGCCATATTGTACTCACCAAGGTGACGTTCCACTGCAGGGGGCTGCATTTCAACGCACTCGGACTGAATGGCCACTCCTCAAACATGTTAGCAAATCTGGGACTGAGCTGGAAGGTTAAATCTACCAGCCTTAGCACCAGCGTGTTAAATGATGAGTGGTCTTTACTACAGTATTTCAGGACAAAAGCAGAATGATGTAGATAATATTATAATTTTCAGATAATATTGTTTTGGTAATTGGCTGTTTTAGGAAGTCTGTAATTTTAAGTTTTGGCCCAGTCCTTTAAAATGGCAGTTTAACCTAATTAACCTCAGCACGCTTTCAGTTTGGCCTCAAATTAGTGCTGCAGCTCTCTTCCTAAACGTCCCAAATAAAGTTAGCCACTTGATCACCAGTTGATTAGTAAAACTATAAACAGTTTTCAAAAGCATATTAGTTTTAGCACTGTCCTGTGTAATTAAATCTCCCTCTTTCATCTTTTTTTAGTTGTACTTTCATCCTTTCATCCGAGCCTCCTCCTCCTCCTCCTTCTTTCTGCAGTTTTCCTCTCTTTATCCTTTTGTGTTTACCTTTCTGATGCCATTAACTCTTTTCAGACCAGCTAATTTCTTCACACAGTCCTGCCCAGCCTCGTGTGACCAAACCGTAGTTTGTGTGTGTCTGTATGCGCGTCGATGTGTTTGTAGAAGTGCTTGCGAGGGTGAGAGGAAAGCCCCCTGTGGGTCACAGCCCCCCTGCTGCCCCCATAGCCGTAGTGATACAGTGACAAAAGGGTAGCCCCCGATAGTTTTTTATACCCCCTCAGCAAGGTCAGACACAAAGACCTGGCCTGGCTGTTCTCAGCCTCGCTCTCCCACAGGAACGCACAAGTTGTGTGGTGAAGACACAGACTGCTGAAGTCTGGTCAGATGTTAAAGGCTATGAAGTGAAAATTTGTCTCATTGTGTTTTGATTATCCATTGGCAGCTTTAGTCACCTTTGAAGCAGAATGTTAGACATTTGCTAATTGCTGTTCCTTAACTAAGATTCATCTCAGAGATAATTCAGTCGGTCCGACTATTTGAACACGTCACCTTGGGCTCTGACAAATTACCATACAATGTTTTAGTTTTTATTTTTTACTTTTGTATTCTAGAGAGAAGTTAATCATAAAAATGTTTTGCAGATTAGTCTTTAGTGGTAAAGAAAAAATAATGTTAGTTCCAATTTATTGGCTCCTGCTTCAGATATTTTGTGGCTTCAGTCAAATATTTTATTTTGTCCTGTTTAAGTATCTTTTCCTCTAAAACCAACACTGTTTCTAGCCCAATAATATGTGAACAGGTTGTGTAATTTCACACCTCCCCTTTCAGATGAGTCTGTGATGTGATATCAGAGCTTCTACTGTATCTCCTGTCAGTACTCACCAAGAGTACAAGAAGCTGTAGCCTGTTCCATGGTCAGGTGTAGTTGCTCTAAAAATGGAGTCTACCTCATCCTCCTATGAATGATTATTTTGCTCCATTTAAGACCTTTCAGGCTCATAACCATTTAGCTGAAAATGGTCCCTCACTTCCTCCCAGGCCACATTACATAGTTTAATGACAGCCAGCAGCGTCCTGGCAGAGTTCATGTTAAGGCCATTCGTTCCTTTCACTCTCTTATAGTCGGCACTGACCGGCTCGCTAAGCTTTTGTGTGTATTCATGTGT